CTTCCCTAAGCCATATGGACATGCCACTTGCATTGAATGCACTTGACATAAAGGAATTAGTTCCTTCTGTTGTGCAACCTCCTGATTTAGAACTGAAACCCCTCCCCTCTATAATTTGAAATATGTCTTTTTCTTGCTGCTGATTCTAAATTGCCTGTTATTATTTCCAGTTCTTTGAGTAGTTCTGAAGAAGAAAGATTGATTTCTGTGTTGAAGAGTCATAAAGGGGCTATATGGTCTTTAGGGGATATTCCGGGATTAATCCCTCAGTTTGCACACACAGGATCCTTTTGAATGAAGGGTCCAAGCCAGTTAGGCAACCACAGAGGAGACTGAATCCTCTCATTCTGGATGTGGTTAAGAAGGAAGTATCTCAAATTGTTGAGTGCTGGGATCATCTATCCCATATCAGACAGTGAGTGGGTAAGTCCGGTACAAGTAGTACCAAAGAAAGAGCGGTATCACAGTAGTGAGAAATGAAATGATGAACTGATTCCAACTAGGGTTCAAAATGCTTGGAGAGTGTGTGTATAGCTATAGGAAGTTGAATGATGCTACGAGAAAGACCACTTTCCATTACCTTTTATAGATCATGATGTTGGAAAGAATTTCAGGAAAGTCTCACTATTGTTTTCTTGACGGTTTTTTTGGCTATTTTCAGGTACCTATCGCTCCTGAAGATCAAGACAAGACTACCTTCACATGCCCTTTTGGTACCTTTGCTTATCGAAGGATGCCATTTGGGTTGTGTAACGCTCCAGGCACCTTTCAAAGGTGCATGATGGCGATATTTAGTGATCTTCTAGAGCAAAACATGGAAGTTTTTATGGATGACTTCACTGTTTATGGTGAGAGTTTTGATGAGTGCTTGAATAGCCTAGAGCAGGCTCTTGAGAGGTGTATTGATAAGAAATTGGTTTTAAACTTTGAAAAGTGTCATTTCATGGTTGATAAAGGGATAGTCTTAGGTCACCTCATCTCTCAAAAGGGGATTGAGGTTGATAGGGCCAAAATTGAAGTTATTTCATCCCTTCCTTATCCTACTTGTTTAAAGGATTTGAGGTCTTTCTTAGGGCATGCAGGTTTCTATCGGCGCTTTATTAAGGATTTAGTAAAGTTGCTCTGCCTCTTTCTACCTTATTGAAAAGGATACTGAATTTAAATTTGATGATAAGTGTAGACATGCTTTTGACACTTTGAAATCTATGCTTGTTTCACCTCCTATTCTCACTGCACCTAACTGGAATTTACATTTTGAGTTGTCTTGTGATGCTTCTAACTTTGCAGTAGGTGCCATGCTTGGACAGAAGGAGGAGAAACAGTCTAGAGTCATCGCATATGCCTCCAAGACGCTTGATTCCGCTCAAGTGAATTATACCACTACGGAGAAGGAACTGTTTGCTATTATTTTTGCTTTGGATAAGTTTAGACAGTATCTTATAAACTCTCGAGTGGTTGTCTTTACAGATCATGCAGCGGTTCGGTACCTATTTAAGAAGCCTCAGTCTAAACCTAGACTGCTGAGATGGGCTTTGCTGCTACAGGAGTTTGATATCGAGATTAGAGATCGAGCCGGAGCGAAGAATCATGTAGCTGACCACCTTAGTCGGTTACCTGAAGGCACACAGGGAGTTGACTCTTCTGATCTTGTTATTGACTCATTTCCTGATTCTGCACTTTTTGCCTTGGCTGTTCATGAGCCTTGGTACTCTAATATAGTTAATTATCTTGTCACTGACCTTATACCTCCTTCTATGTCTAAATTTCAGATTGATAAGCTGAAGAGGGAGGCAAGATACTATATCTGGGATGCTCCAATCCTGTGGAAGCAATGCAGTGACCAGATCATCAGACGCTGTGTTCCAAATAATGAGATCCACTCTATCCTTACCTTTGCACATTCTTTATCTTGTGGGGGCATTTTAGTGCTAATAGGACTGCTAGGAGGGTTTTAGAGTGTGGTTTTTATTGGCCTTCTCTATTTAAGGATGCTTATTCTTTCTGCAAGTCTTGTGATAAGTGTCAGAGGTTTGGGAGTTTGGGTAGGAAGCATGAAATGCCTCTAAGACCTATGCATTTTTGTGAAATCTTTGATGTGTGGGGCATGGATTTTATGGGTCCCTTCCCTTCGTCTTTTGGATTTTCATACATATTACTTGCAGTAGATTATGTGTCTCGATGGGTAGAGGCAGTGCCAACTAGGAAAGATGATGCTTCTACTGTTGCCAAGTTTTTACGTTCTCATATCTTTTGCAGGTATGGCATTCCAAGAGCAATCATCAGTGACCAAGGAACACACTTCTGCAACAGGACCATCAAGTCTCTATTGGCTAAACATGGAGTCAATCACAAGCTGGCCACTCCTTATCACCCTCAGACGAATGGGTTAGCTGAAGTCTCTAACCGGGAAGTGAAACGAATACTTGAGAAGATCGTGAAACCATCCCGTAAGGACTGGAGTGAAAGGCTTGAGGAAGCTCTTTGGGCTTACAGGACTGCCTACAAGACCCCTATAGGCATGTCCCCCTTCCGGTTGCTCTATGGCAAGGCTTGCCATCTACCTATGGAGATCGAGCACAAATCTTATTGGGCAATCAAGGCATGTGATGCAGATCTCGAATCTTCACTTATCAATCGGAAGATGCAACTCCAGGAACTTGAAGAGATGAGACTTGAATCCTACGACAATGCCAGAATCTACAAAGACAAGCTGAAAATGATTCATGACAAACAGATTCTGAGGAAGCAGTTTCATGAAGGTGACAAGGTTCTAAAGTTTAAAGCCCGGTTGAAGCTGATGCCCGGGAAGTTTGTCACCAAGTGGGAAGGTCCGTTTAGAGTTACTAAAGTATATCCCTTTGGCACGGTAGAGCTCGTAGATGAGGAGACCGGTATAACTTCACAAGTCAACGGCCATCTACTGAAGCACTACCATGAGAATCACAGACCTCCCTGATCACCCGTTGTTCCCTTCCACCCTACTCTTTTACTTTATGTTGTATTGCTGGTGATATCTGTTTGCTGAGATAGTTAGGAGTAAGTGTGGGGAGGGAACTTTTCCAGTAGCTGTAGTTGTAGCTGTTTATTTCTGTTTAGTAGTTGTTTGTTTTGTTTCCTCTTGATTCTACCATCTCTTCTGATCACTTGATTTATATTTGTCTATTTTCATTTCACATTATCTTAACATTGAGGACAATGTATTGATCAAGTGTGGGGGAGGGATTGTTGTTGAGTTGTTGAGCTTTCTTTTGAAAAAAAAAAAAAAAAATTTGCCTTTGGATTTGCTCCTGTTTCCTAAGTATTGCTGCTATAATTGCTCTCTTCTCTGCCTATTGGTTGATTTCTGAATTGCATCGCATGATTTGAGAGTGATTCTTGCTTGGGAATTTTGCTGCTAGTTTCTTTGTGTCCTCCTATTTTCATTCGCCTCAGTGCTCTGCACTGCTGTATGGGCGAGTTGCTGTTCCCTCTATTGCTGACTTGACTTTTGTAATCCTTGGGCACTCTTTTTAAAATCTTTTTGCACAATGCTTGTGAATATTGCACGGCTGAGTTTGATTGCATTTGATTTGAGTGATTTCTGTTCTTAGTTGATTAGCATAGTAGAATACTTTTGGTGCAGTGTTATTAACCTTGTTTTATAGCTTGATTCTTAAGGAGAAAACATCTTGGAGAAAGCCTTGATGGAAGGATTTTTGAGCCATGTATTCTTTCTCATCTTGTGTGATTTTCACCTAGTTTTGGTTAACCTCTAGAACTTGTTTAGATTCTTTTTCAAAGCTGCATTAATACCTAGGTTTGTGAAGATGATAGGGGCATTCATTTCTAAACCTTTACCCAAACACAAACCACTTCATTTAACCTTTGTTCACCCCTTTGAGCCTTCACTTTCATTTTATTCATTGCTTTTGTAACAGGTGTTTTGCATGAGTTATCTGATTTTTCATTTTGAAAAGTACATCATAATGTCTATATCTTTGCCTTCTTGGGTTTGGATGCCAAAAAAAAAAGAAAAAAGAAATAGAAAAAGGCAAGAAAGAGAAGAAAATGTTTAGAAAAAGCCAAAGAAAGAAAGTTATAAAAAAAAAAGAGAGAGAGAAAATAAGTTGCAACAAAAGAATAAATTTGAAATAAGGCATTCCATGGTGGTTTGAAGAGCAAAGATTTTTGTCTCAAAAGGTTAAAATCTGCACATTGGTGTTGTTTCATGATTGTACTTTAGCTCACTTTGAGTTAATTATTTACTACTCATGCATTTCACTTGTTAGTCCATTTCATTCATTTGGCCATAGTTTCCAACATTACAACCCTTCAAGTCCCCTTGATCATGAGTCTAAGGTATGTTAGTAGTGGAGATATTAGAATCTCTACAAGCTTATGGTAGGTGCTAATCTAGGTGGATTGAGTGAAATTTTTCCCATTTGAGAGATGAGTGAAACACTTGTACCCTATGTGAGCTCTATTATGTTTCTCTTCTTTTATCCTGCTATGTTTCTTGTGTTAATTTCTTTGCACTGAAGTATTCTATGATTGTTGATTAATTAAAAATAAAGGTTACTTGCGTTAATTGCACATTCATGCTTAGTTAATTTTATGGTTGCATGCATTGAGTCTCTTTATTGAATTCTTCTTTAATGAAGTTTTGCCCAGGAGTGCAAAAGGCTAAGTGTGGGGGAGTTGACAAACTCAATTATTTTTATATATTTTGGTATCTTTTATATGAGTTTTGTCAGCTTAATTGCTCTCTTTTTGCCTTAATTGATTTATTTTATTTTATTTTGAATTATTATTTTATAGGGGGCAAAATTGTCATATTTTGGTTTAATTGTGACTAATTGATTTTTTAGGACAATTAATGCTACCTTATCCTTGAATTTTGCTTGCAGGTTCTTGGAAGATTCAAAAATATAAAAAGAAAAAAAAAGGAAAAAGAAAAAAAAATAAAAATAAAAATAATAATTAGGGGGGGCAAAACGTTGCGTTTTGCCCCAACCTAATAATCATCTATTCTTCATCTTCTCCAGGAGGCGCGGCGGCAACAAAAAGAAACACACCCGAACACGCCGAATAAAAAACAGCGAAGGGGAAAACAAAAGCTGAGCGGCGGCAGAGAGAGAGAACACACACACGCGCGACGCCGAACGAAAGGGAGGCTGGAGCTGCGCGAAGAAAAGAAAACAGAGGAGGAGCTGGACGGCGCACACGGACCTGGAACGAACAGAGAGGTCCTTCCATCGGTCCAGTCCATCATCACCGGCGGCTTCATCTTCTTCTTCTCCTGGGCGCGGCCGGAGAAAGGACCAGAGAACACGCCGCAGAGCAAGACGCGAAACGGAAGAGCAGAGCACGCCGAACAGAGGAGAAGGGAGACGCAAGCGAGCAGACCAGGGGAGCTGACGGTTTTCTCCACTCTTCCTTCGATATTCTTCATGGCTGGATACGGTGAATTGCTGGTGGCAGCAAACTTGATGGCAAACCGTGGCTGAGATCCTCTGATTCTCCAATTCAACAATAATGGCAGGAGCTTGGATTTCAAGGGGGAGTTCTAGTTACTTTAATTTCTTACTCAATAATTGTTTAACAATTCCTAGGTCTTAGGATAGTTTTTCTGATTGTTGGGATAATTGTATTGCTTAATCTGATTATATTTGGGGATTATTGTGACTGAATTATTGCTTAGTATTTGACATTGGGCTGTTTATAGTTTTGATCTCAATTATAATGTTGTGGTTATGACATTTGTATTGATTTTGGAATTAATATATTGTGATTTTCTAAGGTGGCTTAGAATTTTGGATCATATAGTCTCTTGCTAGCTTTAATTCTGTTATTTTGGATTTAAGAGTTCTAATTAAGCATTGGTTTTTAGCATCCTTAATCCCATTTTACTATTCTGGTTGCAGTTAGTAAGTTGGGATTTTAGGAAAATATTTTGTGGCAACTCGAGGTGGCTCGGTTGTTGGATCAAAAGCTTAATTATAATTCTTAATTCATTGTTTTTAACTCCCACATCTTTTAGAGTGATGATTGCCTGCGTTGTTGAATTGGAGGATTGATTTTTATCAGTGTTATTTGTGTGTCTCATTTTCATTTCTTTAATCTCCATTCATTTTAATCACTTTTATATAAAAACAAAATTAAAAAGTATTTTAATTTCAATTTGATTCGTAGTATTTAATTAACAGCTTTTCAAAATCAAAAATCTCTTTTTATAGTTTAGGTTACTTGCATTCATTTACTAGGGTTTAATTTCGTTTTCGGCTCCTCAAAGTGAAACGACCCGAGTTGTGCACTATATTGCATTAATTCGGTTAATTTTTGAAGTAACCCCAAAGCGACAATTAAGGGCAGTTAAACTTCACCTTCTTGCCGCTGAGCCAGACTGAATTTGTTTATTAATATTGTAAAATAAAATATATATTATTATATTATACTTTCAGCGGCGACAAAAAAAGTCGCCGCTGAAAGTCCACTTTCGACAGCGACTAAAAAAGTCGCCGCTGAAGGTCTACTTTCGGCGGCGACACTTTTGTCGCCGCTTAAAGTTTTGGTTTCAATGGCGAACTTTCAGCGGCGACTTTTTTTGTCGCCGCCGAAAGTCGTCGCCTAAAGTCTGTTTTTTTGTAGTGAGGCTATTCTATTGGAGATATTATTGAGAACTAAATATAGGCACCTCTTTCAGTGGAAATTCGAATCTTGGTCCATTATATTGTGAGGGACTAGTATTTTCCACTAGACTTAGCCCTGTAGATACATCATGCATAATTTCTTACTATTTACATGAAAATCCTTTAATGTCGTATATAAAATCTCGGACTATTTTAAATATAATTAATATTTATAGTATTGAAAAGCTATATATGTATGCCATTTCTCTTCTTTATCAAGTCAAGGTTTTTTAGTTTTTACTTCAAAGGGATTAAGCTGCAAAATAATTAAATACAATTAGTAATACGAGTACTATATGAAAATATGATTTCCCCTTTCATAGAAAGGTTAAGAAATAAAATTGAAAAAAAAGGTCCCATTTTCTCTTTCGCCTTTAATATGCGAACAACCAGTAGGTTAATATGACCTCTCTCTCTCTCTGTTTTTTTTAATCGCTTTTGTTTCTGTTTTTCCATTTCTAGCTTAGGAATTTCCCATTTGGACATTCTAATGGACCAAGAGGGTATTATTACATCTGTAACCATAAATAGTATTGTAAGTTATTAATGCTTCGTGATTTGTTTTAAACTCATTTTTATGACTAGGATTTTTGCTTTCCTACGACAGAAAAGCAGGCAGAGATAAATTACAAACCTATAGAAAGAGATACATTACATGATAAAAGTTGCCGTGTTATTTATCCATATATAACAGGACTTCTCTGCATTTAACCAACGTAGCTATGCAAAACTTTGACGTAGTCACCAGAGAAACCGTTACAATCTATCTAGATTACAAAGCTATTTCTCTATATTTTCCACTATTTTTTTAACCTTTTGGTTTGTGAAGGATTTTGGGGAGTACCTCGATTATGTTTGTGCAGATGAGTTGCCCACACGAAACGAAAACATTTATATGGATTTTTATCATGCAACACAACAAAGTCACCCCCAAATTCATCCGCTACATGAAACGAATTTGAGACATAGAGCTCCTATGGATGGACAATGACATGGTGACAAAACATGGTAGTAGCGATGACATGGCAGATGGTGGGAGGGGGCACCTGGCAAACAGAGGTGAGTTGGTAGTGACCGGGGGGTGACTGGTGATGATGTGGTGAATCCAGAGGGTCACATGGCAGTTGGGGGTGAGGTGGCAGCAGTACGTGGTGACTGGTAGAGGGACTATGTGGCAGCTTCTAAGGTGTTCCAAATGGCATTTTCAAAAGCATTAAGAACTTTAAATTAGTGATGAAAATATACTATTGGTAATTATCAAATTGATCAAAAATTTTTATCAGTATATTTCGTTGTTGATTAGTGGTGAATTAGTGGTAGTAACATTTCGTCAGAAATTAGCAATAAAAATTTTATCAGTAATCCATTGCTAATTAGTTATAAAATTGAAATTCCGCCACTAATCTAGTTAGGGACAAAACAATTGGCGGCGGCTTCTATCATTGACAGATTCCATCACTAATCTGTCAGTAATTTCATCACTAAATAAAAATTCAAAGTTTGATAGTGGTTCACAATAACCGTTTCTAAACTGTTTGCAGCACATAATTTGGTAGCACTTGGCCAAACTGCTAGCTCTTAGTAGAGGTTCACCCCCTACTAATGCATCTTCTTAACCGTTACTAATCCACATCTTTTTTTAGTGTTAATTAGAGACTGGAACCACTCTTTCAATTTTTTTCAGAATTAGTGATGATAATTTGAATTTTAACAAGAATAGAGGGTTACCAAATAAATAGTAACCATACAATAAATATAAGAAAATTAGTTATTTGACAATTCTCGAGCTTGAAATGGATTAAAATGGTTCCTGAATTGTCAATATAGCTCCTATACACATGTTTTTGCCCCAACCGGGGATGGAAGCAATATGATGTTACCCAGTGTACCTACTATTTTAATCGGCCCTTGGCTAACCTTTATTCAGAAAGGCCGGATGTGACAGCATGGTTCCGGATGACCATAGCACATTTGAAAATGGCTTTCTTATTCTATAATGTATAGAGATATATCCAATATGTCTGATCCATATATAACAGAAATGATTCCTCACGCGTTTGTTATCTAACTATCTTGCTAAAGTAGCTGAAGTCTGTCATAGGAATCAACAAAGAAAATTTATGCGTGTTCAAGCTGTATGTTTATTCATGAGTTTGGAGGAATATAATATACCCCATCTCCATAGCTTTGGTTGGTGGCTCACTCGATTGAGATTGTGGCTGGCTCAACTGCAGGTTGCTAGTGCATGGAGGATTGAAACTCTCATTTTCATCATTTATAACCCTTGCTTCACAAATCTAGTTAATTAAAAAATAAGACGTTATTTAGACTATGAAAGAAACTTTTAATCATACACAGCACAGGCACAATATATAGATGGTAATTAAGGGCAAGCTTAGCTTGTTGATTGTATATGCACACACACACACACACTCGAGACTGGAGCAAATTATATGGAGGAAACTTAAATACCTTTTTCAACTCTGCATTTTCTTTACTAATGAATTGTATCCTTTCATAAAGTTCAACATTTTCTTGACAAACTTGATTTCCCTGCATTAGCAACAATAAATTAGTCAGAATTCGGGGGAATATTTTTCAAACGTAACGGGCAAGATCAGAAAAAGAATTTCTTGACTACCTTTTGCTGTAGCTCTTTAATCTCATCAGTTAAGATTTGATCCTGCGGACAATTTAATGATCAAGTACACTACTTGCCGTGTAAAATTGTGATATGTTAAATTGAATGAAGATTTTAGTTGAACTGAACCATCATACTTTTCTGACCTGGACACGTTTTAAACTCATCTTCAGTTGGTTTTCCAAATCGTTCATTTCGTTAATGCCAAAACCAGAAAGTTGTTCACCCATCAATTGCCTGCATTTTCCAGAAAGTAGCGCTTGTTGAACTGCTGCTTGTTCATTTGCATTTTCCATGCTGATATCAACATTTTGTCACCAGAATGTAATAATTCTTGTTCCAATGTACGACCTTTAGTCTTAATATAAGATCTAGTTTGTAGTTCAATTTAAACTACAAACTAAATCTTATATTAAAAGCCAGAGGCACATAGTATCTGATTTTCTCATTATACCTGTGCATTTCCCTCAACTGTTGAAGTTCTTGCCTCAAGACCGTGGCTTCTCTTTGCCAAAACTACCAAGGGCATAAAAATGTTATAATGATTGTAAGGAAGAAGGAATGAATCTCTAACGCTCATAAGCATAAAGACGATTCTAAGTCGACTTACTTGCATTGGCCACATATATAATAGACATATTTACTTTTCGTAGGGGGGAAAAAAATCATTGCCTCAATCTGCCGTACATTTACCCTCTAATTTCTGGAAACAAGGCATTCGAAAGGACTTTCACATGGATTCAATTCACAGGAAGCAAGCAGACTATGTATTAGTCTGTTAATATGAGAGGAAGTGTACAATCAGTATATAGAATGCAGTTTTTCTCCTCTTCTCCCATCTTTCCTTGATCTTATTTATCGTTCTCTTTTTGTAGTAAAATCTTGCTTGGACAAGTATATATACACTGACGATTGGAATTATTATATATATATGAATGGTTTGTAAATGTCTAGTAACTAAATATGACATGCATATGAAAAAACATTAAAACTATTAGAGGAATGAGGTGCTTGGTCTCGTACCTTGGCTTCTGAAGCTGCATTCATAAGCGGATGTTCCTCTTTCTGTTTATGGTAGCGCCCAATTATTGACTCCAGGCTGCCATAAGCAGACAATTTAATCAATGAGATGAAAATTAAATCAAGTTTTTGTCCATGAAAAGTATTATTGTTGCGCGTACTATCTGTATATTGGTTTCTAGGTGAGCACGAAAGAAGAATCAAGCCAATATAATGATTGAATTGAGTATTCTTGGAATACAAGGGAATAAATAATTCTAGGCTCCATTTTATCCTTGAAGTCAATAATTAGTTGTTTTTACTGATTTCTAATTTTAAGAACAGCTTCTCTTCATTCCTGATATTTATATTATTCAAATTAAGTAAAAGTGTGATAATTATTAATTAACCAGGTTTTGGTACTAAATTCTTGTAAAGACGACAATTTTTTTTAATCAATTTTTACTTATTACGACACGTGCACCTACAATGTAAACAAAACTATTTATGAAAAGCTCCTTGAATCTAGTTTCTAATGCAATAAGGTATATCTCAAAATTCTTTATGTTGTGAAATATATGCGAAAGATTGAGTGCAAGTGAAAAATGATTTTCTACCGTATTTGAAATTAAAGCGTCAAAGTTTTAAAAAAATACTCCTTCATAGGAAAACATTTTTAGATTGTGATAGGTGTCACTGGAAAAAAAAAATTATTGAGTCTATTTTATTTTCATATGAAACAAGTTTCATATAAAAATAATTTGTAATTTGTGAGATATTGCAGAAACGCAGAACAAAAAGTCAAAACTGAAATAAAATAGAGTCTATTTGTGCCAAGAAGGAAACTCGAGTTTATAGCATAGGAACTAGAGTTGGATGGATATTCATAAGCTGGACAGAACAAACAATGGACAAACTCAAGTTTGAATAGAGCGTGAGACGCAAGAAGTTCAAAAAAACTCGAGTTTTGAAAGGATAGTACTCGAGTCTGGGCAAGAAAGCAAACATGAAAACCAGGAACTGGAGTTTTGATAGAAGATAACTCGATTTTGTAAGCTGGAAGCACAAGCAAGGAACACAAATCGAGTTGAATGAAAATAAAAGGCAAGTTTGTCACTTAAGGCATGGACCGCAGAATATATAGATATATATATATACACACACACACACACTTCTCTCTGATCCTAAATGTAAGATCCATTTTGTAGTATAATTTACACCACAAAATGGATATTACATTTAGGACAGGAGTAGTATATAGATTCAGGGAAGATAATTCTGAAAACAACATAATTCAAATACACGAGCGTACATGAGTGTGTGTGTCAAGCCAAAGCAGTCTTATATTAGAGGAAAACTAAAGACTCAATTACAAGATATATCGCATGATACACTTGAACATATGCAAAAACATAGAAAGTTTTTTACAAAGAAACAAGATCTAAAGGCATATCGTATAGATCAAAAGCGAAAAGCGCAGAGAAAATGCTGTGAGCTAGACTTCTGAGAAAACAAAGTAAATGAAGCTGGGAACAATATGTGTGTGTATGTATGTATGAATGTACCTGGAGCTTCCATATTCGTAGAGCTTATCAGTGCTCGAGAAGACGATGACCCCAACTTGTACGTCACAGAGGATCGCAAGCTCCCTTGCCTTCTTGACCAAACCACTTCGTCTCTTTGAGAAAGTGACTTGCCTGTTCGGTATATCATCAATCCTCTCAATCGCAATCTTCCTTTTCCCCATTGCTCTAGGGTTTCTTGGCTACTTCCCCTCCAACAAATCTGTAAAGTTACGGAAATTCATCAAAAGAAAAACAAAAGCACCATTCTTAAAGGAATCGGAGAATAATTTGTTCCAAAACCACACATATAACTTAAAAAAAAAAAAAAAACAAAATCGAAATAAACAGTGTTTGTATGGTCGCCAAGCCGGAGGAACTCACAGAAGAATAGTGGGAGGAAGAAGAAGACGAAGAAACAGGTTTATCCCTGAAGCTCCTAATGAGAGAGGCTTTTTGGTGAATGTGCCCTTCGAATACTTAATCTCGAAGGCTTAGGATAATAATAAAAAAAACAGTCCCATAGCTAAGCACAGGAGATGACATTAGAGGGATAATGGTTTGGGCTGTTGACTAACTGTAACAGGCAGTGGCCGCTAAATCATTGACGGCGGTTGGGCAATGGCATCAGTCCTATAGTGTGGTGATGATTATACATGCAAACGACAATCACACCATATATATGTATGTATTTATTTATGTAATATAACCTCCAGTCCTTAATATAAGAGCTAGTGAGAGGATGGGTTTTGTTTTAGATACAAGACTTCAGTTTACTTTATCTTCCAAGTTTATATTTTTTCCTCTAAAATATCCCTATTAACTGTAAAGAGTTCTCACTAAGTGATGGTTTTAATGCACATATTATACTCGGTTATTTAGAAAAGTCAACTTATATTTATTACAATTAACCAACTTAACTATTGTGTTGTATCTCCCCAAATTAGTTATTTAACTCTTATATTAAGAATTGGAGATAGTGTATGTAGTCTTACATGGGATGTCATGTTGCACATTCCTAAATCATGAACATTAACCAATACAAACATTCACAATACAGTTATACAAGTAATTATGAGGTGTAACCTCTTATGTAGCTTCGGCAATCTTTCTTCTGCTGACTGAACCCAAAGACTGAACTTAAAGTTCATAATCTAGCCCACAAAAGCCCTCTGGTACCCAAGATTTATCCAGCCAAAGACAAAGCCCAAGATTAGACTATGTATAGTTCTTCTTGATCAAACAAGCAAACTAAGGTGTTATACACAAACACACATATAGTATCCATTTACATATATAACATTTTGTCAAACAAATATATATAATTTTTTGGATTACGCTGCAAGTGAATAGTTTTGCTACTTTAACATTGTCCTTGAAATAATGCTCTTAATTTGTCGCTTTGGGGTTACTCTAAAAATTAACGGAATTAATACAATATAGTGCACAATCTGGGTCGTATTCACTTTGAGGAGCCAAAAACGAAATTAAATCCTAGCAAGTAAATACAATTAACCTAAACTATAAAAAATATTTTTTTGATTTGATAATTGCTAAATAAATACTATGAATTAAATTGAAATTAAAATACTTTTTTATTTTTATATAAAAATGATTAAAATGAATGAAGATGAAAGAAATGAAAATGGCATATGCGAATAAATAATGATAATAATCAATCCTCCAATTCAACAATGCAGGCAATCCTCACTCCAAAAGATGCGGAAGTTAAAACAATAAATTAAGAATTATAATTAAGCTTTTAATCCAACAATCGAGCCATCTCGAATTGTCACAAAATATTTTCCAAGATCCTAAATTACTAACTGCAACCATAATAGTAAAATGGAATTAAGGATGCTAAAAACCAATACTTAATTAAAACTTTTAAATCCAAAATAACAGAATTAAAGCTCGCAAGAGATATTACGATTCAAGAGTCCAAGCTACTTCAGAAAATCACAATATATTAACTCCAAAGTCAATGTAAATGTCATAACCACAACATTATAATTGAAATTAAAGCTATAAATAGCTCAATGTCAAATGCTAAATAGTAATCCAGCCACAATAATCTCTAAATATAATCAAATTTAACAATAAAAATTTTCCAATAATCAGAATAACTATCCTAAGACCTGGGAATTGTTAAATAACTATTGGACAGGAAATTATAGTAACTAAAACTCCCCTTTGATGATTTGAGCTCCTACCATTGTTGTTGAATTAGAGAATTATTAAGCTCTAGCCACAGTTTGCCATAAAAAATGCCACAATCAATACTCTATTACAAGTTTCCATGGAAGAACACTGTTCACGCTGAATTCTTCACGCTGCTGGCACTCTGCTCACGTCAAGAAGGAGAAGAAGATGATGATGGATGGTGCGTCAAGCTCCCCTGGTCATCTCGTGTTCTCCCTCTGGTTTGCTGTCGCTGAATCTCTCTATGCCGTCAAGCTAACGTGTGTCCAGCTCCCACTTTGTTTCTTTTGCCAAACTCTACCGCTAAAACCCTTTCGTCCAATGCCCCCTTTTTTGGAAGATGATGATGATGAATAATTGAATATTAGTGTATTAGGTGGGGGGCAAAACGTTACGTTTTTCTCCCTCTTTTTATTATTTTATTGTTTTATTTTTTCTTTATTTATTTATTTAATTTATTTTCTTCTTTTTTTTTCTTTTCTTTTGTTTTTTATTTGTATGCCTTCCAAAAACCTGCAGTCAAAATTCAAGAACAAGGTAGTATTAATTGTCCTTCAAAATCAATTAATCACAATTAAACCAAAATATGACAATTTTGCCCCTATAAATAATAATTCAAAATAAAATATATTAAATCAATTATCAATCAATTAAGACCAAAAGAACTAATTAAGTCGACAAAACCCATATAAAAGATATCAAAATATATAAAAATAATTGATTTTGTCAACTCCCTCACACTTAGCCTTTTGCACTCCTGGGCAAAATATCAGTAAAGTAGAATCCAACAAAGAGACTCAATGCAAGCAAACATAAAATCGACTAAGCATGATTGTGCAATTGACTCAAGCAACCTTTATCCTAATCGATCAACAATTATAAAATACTTTAGTGTGAAGAAATAACACAAGAAACATAGCAGGGTAAAGGAAGAGAAACATAATAGAGCTCACATAGGGTACAAGTATTTCACTCATCTCTCAAATGGGAAAAATTTCACTCAATCCACCTAGATTAGCACCTACCATAAGCTTGTAGAGATTCTAATGTCTCTACCACTAGCATGCCTTAGACTTGTGATCAAGGGGACTTGAAGGGTTGTAATGTTAGAAAGCCAGGGCAAATGAATGCAATGAACTAACAGGTGAAATGTATGAGTAATAAAGTATCAATTCAAAGTGAGCTAAAGTGCAATTGTCACACCTCTCCTTATAACCTATTATATATCAATTGGAACCATTATAAGTCGGTTCGTAACGTTTCCGGATGAAAAATTTAAAATTCAGGATTTCACTGTTCATCCTGTCCGTACACTGTTCATCCGAAAAATGAGCCAAGTTTGAAAATTCATAAATAAATCTAGAAAAATTGAAACGACATGATTCTAATTTTCACGCGAAGCTTGCTAAGATTTATATGGGGAAAAAAATACTCATTAGGTCCAATTCCATCCAGAATAATTCCAGGAAATTCGTCAATGTGTACTGTTCATTTGGTAAATTTTCAAATTTCCAGTATTTTTGCCCAACTTTGGAAGGGCATAACTCTTAGCACACAACTCCAAATTTAATGAATTACTACTTTTTTTAAAGCTAAAAATGAGATCTATTTTCCTGTAAAATTTCATGTCCAAACTCCAACAATTCCTTATTATTTTATGTGCCACAAGTTTGGCAATTTTTAGGGAATTTCTATCCCCTAATTACCATTTTCTTGATTTATTTCCCCTTTTTCCTTCAACCACATTCCTTCAACAATGCATCAAGTATAATTCCAACATTGGAACATGGAATAACAATATAGTTTACATCAAATCTCATCCATAACTTATCATAAAATCAACATAAAGTTTGGTACACTTGATACAAGTTTCTAACATAACATAATATACATAAAGCCATTTCATGCCAAGGCCAATTCTTTCCCTTGCTCCATGCTTGGTCCAGTTCCTAATTAGGGCATGAAATAACATAGGAGGAATGAGATTTTAAAGAAATCTCAGTAGCATATGAATTATAATTATCATATAAATCAATGCAAGTTAAATTGTGACATGTCATTCAATCCAATTCATTCCCAACTCATAGGAATTCATGCCAAATATCATGCAAGGAGAGGAACATTATATCATCCACATTGACATACCACAAAGCATTTGGCCAAAGCATAACCAATGTTAATCAAACAATCAAAGTCACCACAAAGTTCCTCCAATCCAAGCAATAAGAAATCACAACAAACAAGCAAGATAAACAATCAAATTATAATTCAAAGCTACCTTTGTAAGGCTTGTCCAATTAATTCCTTCAAGGAGCAAAGCTTCTCCTTAATTCCTCCTCTCAATGCCTATTAAACCAAGCATGAACATAGGCCATATTAATCACAAATAAACTTAATTCCAATACTTAAACATTAACTTAACAATTCCCCCCTCCTTTCTTTGATTTTTAACAATATGATTCCTCCTTTAGAATCAGCCATCTCATGACTCAATCCTACACAATTTTTCATGAGGAATCCAATGATGCAATCAGACTTTTGAAATTCACACTCCTTCTCCATGAACTTCACTTGGCCGAATAGGGGGCTATATGCTTCCAAAAATTCTATTTTTGATTCCAATGATTTTAAACACTTTCCAACATTATATCCCTACACAAAAACATGTTTTAAAGCCATTGGAATCATCAAATTAAGCAAAATCAAATTGCTTCTGCATGAACAGTAGCAAAACGAAAATTCCCCCTTAAACCCTAACTTGATTTCATCCAAAAATCAATCCGTATACCACTTAATCTTCCTCATTCCAGTTGATTATTAAGGTTTCTATTCTTCCCTAAGCATCACACATCTCAACTAAATTTTTCAGATTTTTCTAGCATTTTCCCAAGCAAAAATCCTTGTTTAATCAATGTAAAGCTTAGAGATCTTGATGCTTGGACATACCTTAGTGTTTCCTTGAAGTAAGTTGGATGATTTCTTG